ATCCAATGGGAAAAAGAGTCTTTTCAATAAATGGGGTTGGGAGTAGTGCATGGTAACATGCAAAATAATGAAATTGGACCACTTTCTTATACCATACACAAAATAAATGCAAAATGGATTAAAGACCTAAATGTGAGTCCTGAAACCATAAACCTTCTAGACGAGAACACAGGCAGTAACTTCTCTGACATTTGTGGTAACATTTTTCTAGATACGTCTCCTGAGGCAAAGGAAACAAAAACAAAAGTGAACTATCAAAATAAAAAGCTACTGCACAGTGAACGGAACAATCAACAAAACTAAAAGGCAGCCTATGGATTGGGAGAAGATATTTGCAAATGACATATCTGATATAGGGTTAGTATCCAAAATATGTAAAAAACTTACTAAACTCAAGACCCTAAAAACAAATAATCCAGTTAAGAAACAGGCAGAAGCCATGAATATACTTTTCCAAAGAAGACAGAGATGGCCAATAGGCACATGAAAAGATGCTCAACATCACTCACCATCAGGGAAATGCAAATCAAAACCACAATGAGATACCACCTCATGCCTGTCAGAATGGCTAAAATCAACAACACCAGAAACAAAAAGTATTGGCAAGAATGTGGAGAAAAAGGAACCCTCTTGAACTGTTGGTGGTAATGACTATTGGTGCAGCCACTGTAGAAAACAGTATGGTAGGTTCCTCAAAAAGTTAAAATTAGAACTTCCATAGGACCCAGCAATTGCACTACTGGGTATTTACCCAAAGAATACAAAAACACTAATTCAAAGGAATACATGCACCACAATGTTTATAGCACCATTATTTTCAATAGCTAAGATATGGAAGCAGCACAAGTGTACATCAATTGTAAATAGATAAAGAAGATGTGGTATGTATGTATACACACAATGGAATATTATTCAGCCAGTAAAAGAAATGAAATAATGACAATTGCATGACAACTGCAATGACATGGATGGAATTAGAGACTATAATGCTAAGTGAAATAAGTCAGAGAAAGACAAATACCATATGATTTTATGCATATATGGAATTTATGAAACAGAAGAGACAAACAAAGGGAAAGAAAGAGAGACAAGGTAAGAAACAGACTGTTAACTAAAGAGAACAAACTGATGGTTACCAGAAGGGAGGTGGGGGGGATGGGTAAAATATGTGATGGGGATTAAGGAGTGCAATTGTTGTGATGAGCACTAGATGATGTATGGAATTGACAAATCATAATACTGTACACCTGAAACAAATAGAACACTGTATGTTAACTATCAGGAATTAAAATAAAAAATAAGAAGAAAAGATGAATGGTGTGACTTAGATCTTGTTTAATTTGTTGAGACTTCTTTTGTGACCTGATATTTGATCTGTAGTGGAGAGTATTCCATGTACACTTGAAAAGAATATATATTCTGCTGTTTTAGGATGGAATGTTCTGAATATACCTGTTAAATTCACCTGGTCCAGTGTGTCATTGTTTCCATGCTGATTTTCTGTTTGGATGATCTGTCCATTGATGTAAGTAGGGTGTTTAAGTTCTCTACTATTATCATATTACTACCAATTAATTCCTTTATGTTTGTTACTGTTTAATGTATTTGGGTGCTCCCATGTTGGGTGCATAAATACTTACAACTGTTATATCTTCTTGTTGGATTGTCCCCTTTATTATTATATAATGTCCTTGTCTCTTGTTACAGTCTAGTTTGTCTAAGTACTGCTAGTCTGGCTTTCTTTTGACATCCCTTTGCTGGATAAATGTTTCTCTATCCCCTCACTTTTAACTGCAGTTTCAGTAAAGACCATGACAACATCCTGGATTTTGACCCCTCCCCAGCAGTAATGAGACACTGGGGTGGTGTCAGTGGAGGCCTAATGGAGGTTCAGGACTCCCACCACTGCCTGAGTAATGAAACCATTCTCCTCTTCCATCCTGTCAATGAAGACCATGTGAGGAGCAGTAACAAGGCACTCCTGTGCTCTTCCTAGCCAGGGTGGAAATCAGTGGAGGCCTACTAGACAGCCTACACTATAATCACTCTGCAGTAATGAGGAAGTTCTCCAACCTCCAGGTGCCATGATTCATTGTTTGCATACAAATAATACTTTTGAATTAAAAAAAGGAACAGAGCTTCAGAGACATGTGGAACTATAACGAAAGTTCTAATATACATGTCACATGAATCCCAGAAGAAGAAGAGAAAGAGGGTAAGGCTGAAAAATATTCAAAGAAAAAAAGGATGAACATTTTCTGAATTTGGCAAAAGATATAAACCTGCAAATTCAAGAGGCTACATAAATGTCAAATAGAATAATTCCAAAGAAATCTATGTCAAGACACATCATATTAAAACTTCAAAATTAAAGACTAAGAAAAATCTTGAAAGCAGCCTGGGGTGGGGGGGAGCACAGTACCTACAGGGGAAAAACAACTCAAATAACAGAAGATTTCTCATTAGAAACCATGGAGGCCAGAAGGAAGTACAGCTTATCATGGACTACTACTCAGCAATAAACAGGAATGTACTATTGATACATGCAACAAGTTGGGTGAACCTTAATTATACTGAGAAAAAAAACAACAAAAAGTCAAAAGATTACCTATTGTTTTAAATAAAAAAAGAAAAAAATTAAAAAAGAAAAAAAAGATTACCTATTATATGACTCATTCTATATGACATTGTCAAAATGACAAAATTACTGAGATAGAAAACAGATTAGTGGCTGCCAGGGATTACATAACTAGTGTGGGGAGGGAAGGATATAGCTATGGCTATAAATGGGCAATACAAGGGATCCTTGTGGTGATGGTTGCTTAAGAATCTACATATGTGATAAAATCACATATGCACATTAGAACAATGTCAAACTCCTGGTTTTGACATTGTACTATAATTTGGTAAAATATAACTATTGGAAGAAACTGGGTGAAGGGTACATGGGACTTCTCTGTACTATCTCTGCAAATATCTATGAATCTATAACTGCAAAATAAAAAAAAAAACTATACACTTTGACCCAATAATCCCATTCCGTTTTTTTTTTTTTTTTTTAAAGACCTTATTTATTCATTTGAGAGAGAGAGAAAGCATGAGGTGGGGAGGGTCAGAGGGAGAAGCAGACTCCTCGCCGAGCAAGGAGCCCAATGCAGGACTCAATCCCGGGACTCCAGGATCATGACCTGAGCCGAAGGTAGTCGCCCAACCAACTGAGCCACCCAGGCACCCTAATTCCACTCAGTTTTTAAAAAACAATGGAATTTCACAAATATTTGTTTATTAGGCTGTTTTTTATAGGACTATGAAGTAAAAATTTTCAAAACTCTTTATCTCAACAGCATGGGATTAGATAAAAATGGTATACCCACAATCACTGAAAATATTATCGACATGCAAAAAGATTTTTGTTGTATTAAGTCTTTTTAAAAAGCAGATTATAAAACAATATATAAAATAGTATTGCATATTTATGGAAATATATATGTATACACATATAAAAAGCAAGATAAAGAAATACACACCAAGTGTTTATCATCTATGGGTAGAAGGATTATAGTAATTTTACTTTTTTTATATCTTTCAAACCATCAATAGTGAGTATGTATCATTAGACTGGGCATACAAAAATATTTCAAACAGAAAAATAAAATAAAATAAATTTATAAAAAAGTTTACAAAAATATTCACTAACATAAAATAAATGTAATTTAGAAAACCAAAGATGAGTGTAGTTTTACTTTATATCTAAGATACTAACACAGATAAAAAGACATGAAAAAAAACGGTTAAGGTAATAGGGAAAAATAATGGTAACTGTCATGGTAAAAATTTACTTAATTCACAAATCACTATATAAGGTAGAAAACCATCAGTGAGCTACTTTTCAAACTGAAATTTAGGATTACAGCAATAAGGGACAAGTTTTCTTCACTCTTCCTGCTGGCAACAAGCTCCCAATTCTCTGTTTAACTACATTTCTGACATCTTTTAGTAAGTAGTAGTTCTACATTTGAAGACATAGTCATGTTTTCATTGACTATGCCAAACCAGATTAGTCTTCTGTTTCTCATAATTCATGTAACAGTTTGAATAAAACAATATAAATTTACAGAATTTTAAAAAATCTAGCTAATGACATTGTTGCTTCCCTCCTATGAATCTCTACAGTCCACTGTTTTTTGGTACTGATCTGGTGGTACTTTCATATTCTGCCTCTTACAGCTACTTTTGTGTTTGTCTTATCTGTCCCAGTAGATTGAGTCCCCTAAGGTCAGGCCTATGTCATACTGATCTTTACCTATCCTGAAATGTCTAGCAGAATACACTGCACACAGTTAATACTGTCTTGTTCTATTAGGTGTGCAATAAGATTATGAACATTTCAAATCAGGCATGCCACCCTCTGCTTTTTGTAATCCCTATAGTACATAGTTTAGGTCTAGGCATAATGATATCCAATGTATCCTTGCTGATTTCTACTTAGTGAAACACCTTTAAGAAATACATTCTACAAGCATGGTATCTGACAGTGTTAGAGACAGAAATTTTGATACATATTGGTAAAAGAACATGAAGTAGTACCTAACTTTAGACTCATAAAAAATAGAGGATTTACATATGGTAGAAGTTCATAAACTGGATTAAGAATTCTAAGGAAAAGCAAAGAAGAAAACTAACAGTAGAGAAAATAAATTTTGTGAAAGTATATTCCTAATAAGCTTAAGTAAAATTACAGAAAGAACTGGAAAGTCACAGCAATTCTTTCCCTGGAGGGTTTATAAATTGTGCCTATGAAGATGAAGCCACAAACATGATTAGAGGCAAGGGGAAGGTATAAAATGACTTACTGTATGAACATAAAGCGTGTGAACAAATAGTGTGAATAAAAAAATATATGGCAAAACTATAAACAGAACCCAGACAACTTTATCAATGGCTGCCCCCCTTTACTTCCTCAACAGGCACACAAGACGACTAAATTCTACTGTGCTTACATGTGCCTTTCATGCATGTCATTGTTGAAGGACACAACTCAATGACTCGAACAGCAAAAGTTCCTGGTTCCTCTCCTGGCACTGTCAAAATCGAAATCTAAAAAGTGGAAACAAAATAGACATAGCTGGTAGATCTCATTTTCATTATTCTATCATTAAAGTGCAGTTTACTTTCAAACTGAGTGTCTTTTCTCAAACTCCATTGATGTTTGAAAAAATTTAACTTGTAAGGGTTTAATTTAGAACAGAATTTGAAACATGTAACATGAACATGTGTCTGAACATCAAATTTCTGCATTATTTATATACTTATATATCATACACATTGCATTCATATAATTCATAGACAATGAATATTTCAAATATCTTTAATATTTAATTCTTCACTTATTTTCAAAGGATTCAATTATGACTTATTTCTGAATTGTATACACTTCAGTATTTGAAAACAGATCATATTAAATCAATTTTGATTATTCATAATGGCTAGAAGCAGATATAGAGTATTAAAATTTAAAAATGTTATAAATCCCAAAGATATTGAAATAAGCAAAGATACCAAAATGTTTCAAAATGAAGGTCTTCAAATTAATTTAAGGACTCCATTAATAAAATTAGAAACCCAGAATTTAGAGTAAAGTGGAAAATTATTTTTAAGTAACGTTTATTGATATGCAGTATGCTGATATGCTATAGGCACTACTAATATATTACATGGCTTTATACTTACAACTTTAAATGACCATCCGGTCAATGTTTCTCTATAAAACCAATAGTTTCAATATGAATTCTCAATAATCTTCATTCTGAAGAAACTATATCCTCTCATATATAAAATACTTGCCAAAAGGTAAAGCCCTATTTATACTTTTATCTGTGAGCACTAAATGCCTAGATTTTGACTGGTGATGTCACATTGATAGCCCACACAGGAAATGCCTACAAGTTTTCAGAACAGAAATTCTTTTAATAACCCTGACTATTCTACTATCATATTCCTCGTAAGTCCATTTTGGGGTTTAATATGTCTCAAAAACTGTGTTCTCCATATTCCTCTTAACTCCCTTTTGCTACTGGCTGTCCATGATACAAAATGTTGTACCTTAAAGAGAGAGGAACCACTAAAACATGAATCTAATGTTGTACAATAATTATCAAATGATTATGACTAAAAACATGTGCATAACCAGAAAGGTATCTTAGGGACTGCACCAACATGGAAGTTCAGGCATACCACATTTTATTGCACTTCTCTCTACTGCACTTTGCAAATACTACATTTTTTTTTTTTTTTTCCATTGAAGGTTTGTGGCAACCTTGCATTGAGCAAGTCTATTGGTTTTTTCCAACAGCATTTTGCTTACTTCATGTCTCTGTCACATTTCGGTAATTCTCAAAATATTTCAAACTTTTTCATTAATATATTTGTTATGGTGATCTGGGATCAGTGATCTTTGATGTTACTATTGTAATTGTTTAGGGGCTCCATGAACTGTGCCCATATAGAATAGCAAATTTAACTGATAAATGTTTTGTGTGCTCTGACTGTTCCACCAACCAACCATTCCCCAGTCTCTACCCTCTCCTTGGGCCTCCCTATTCCCTGAGACACAATGATATTGAAATTAGGCAAATTAATAACCCTATAATGGCCTCTAAGTGTTCAAATGAAAGGAAGAGTCACACATCTCTCATTCTAAGTCAAAAGCTAGAAATAATTAAGCTTAGTGAGAAAGGCGCATTGAAAGCCGAGATAGGCCAAAAGCCAGGCATTTTGTGCCAAACAGCTAGCCAAGTTGTAAATGCAGAGGAAAACTTCTTGAAGGAAATTAAAAGTGCTACTCCAGTGAACATGAGAATGATAAGAAAGGGAAACAGCCATATTGCTGATACGGAGAGTTTCAGTGGTCTGGATCAAACCAGCTAAAACATTCCCTAAGCCAAAACCAAATATAGAGCAAGGCCCTAACTCTTTTTAATTCTATGAAGGCTGAGAGAGGTGAGAAAGTTACAGAAAAGTTTGAAGCTTAGCCAAGTTGGTTCACGAGCTTTAAGGAAAGAAGCCATCTCCATAAAGAAGTGCAAGGTGAAATAGCAAATACTGATATAGAAGCTGCAACAAGATATCCAGAAAATGTAGCTAAGATAATTCATGAAGGTGGCTGCATGAAAGTACAAATTTTCCAGGTAGATCAGTCTTCTATTGGAAGAAGATGTCATCTAGGGCTTTCATAGCAAGAGAGAAGTCAAGACCTGGCTTCAAAGTTTCAAAGGACAGGCTGACTTTAAAGGCTACTGTAGCTGGTGACTTTAAGTTGAAGCCAATGCTCATTTACCATTACAATAATTCTAGGGCCTTTAAGAATTATGCTAAATCTACTCTCCCTGTGCTCTGTAAATGGAACAACAAAGCCTGGATGACACAACATGGTTTACTGAGTATTTTAAGCCCACTGCTGAGACCTACTGCTCAGAAAAGATTGCTTTTAAAATATGAATGCTCATTGACAGTGAACCTGGTCACCCGAGAGTTCTGATGAAGATGTACAAGATTAATGTTGTTCTCATGCCTGATAACACAACATATTTTCTGCAGTTTATGGATCTAGGAGTAATTTTGACTTTGCCATAGATTGTGATTCCTCTGATGGATCTGAGCAAAATAATTTGAAAACCTTCTGCAAAGAATGCACCATTCTAGATGCCATTGAGAACACTCATGATTAATGGGAAGAGGTCAAAATATCAAAATTAATAGGGGTTTGGAGGAAGTTGGTTCCAACCCTCAGGAATGACTTTGAGGGGTTCAAGACTTCAGTGGAGGAAGTAACCGCAGATGTGGTGGAAACAGCAAGACAACTAGAATTAGAAGTGAAGCTTGAAGAAAGGACTATATGGCTGCAATCTCATGATAAAACTTTAATAAATGAGGAGTTGCTTCTCATGGATGAGCAAAGAAGTGTTTCTTGAGATGGAATCTACTTCTGACAATGATGTTGTGAAGATTGTTGAAATGACAACAAAGGATTTAGATATGACATAAACTTAGTTGATAAAACAAAACAGATTTTGCTGGGACTGACTCCCAATTTTCAAAGAATTTCTCCTGTGGGTAAAATGCCATCAAAAAGCATTGTATGCCAGAGAAACCATTCATGAAAGGAGAGTTAAATGATGCAGAAAAGATTATTGTCTTATTTTAAGAAATTGTCATAGTCACCCAAACCTTTAATAACCACCACCCTGATCAGTCAGCAGCCATCAACATCAAGGCAAGACCCTCCACCAGCAAAAAAGATTAGAATTTACTGAAAGCTCAGAAGATGGATGCAGTGTTTAGAAATAAAGCATTTAATTAAGGTAAGTACATTTTTTAGACATAATGCTATATTACACACTTAATAAACTACAGTGTAGTTTTAGTAAACATAACTTTTATATGCACTGGGAAACCAAAAAAATCATTTGACTTGCTTTATTGTGACATTTGTTTTACTGCGGTGGTCTGGAACTACTCACAATATCTCTGAGGTATGCCTGTATTTCTTCTGTTTCCTACAACCATCATGTCTAATTTTAAAAAATTTAAATACAGTCAGTAATCCCCTACCCCAGTACCTTCTGTGTCCTGAACTGAGAAGGTACTGTCTTAAATCTCATAGAGATTAATAAAAGCCATCAAAAGGGAATTCCCTCAATCCTCTAATACCACTTTCATAAAATTTATCTAAACTTACACCTATTCTTTCCTCTCTTTAAGTCTCATTATATATGCTTCAAAAATTGAAAGAGGAAAAGACCCATGTAGTAAACAAAGAAAAGCATACCAAATGTATATTTTAGACTGATCGCTCTGATAGCTCTGTGGAGGATGGATCTGAAGGAGACAAGATGAAAGGCAGAACAAAAAGTTAGAAGGCAGAAATAATGAGGTCCAAAACCAGAGCAGTGAAAATAAGGACTGAGAGGAAAAGCAGATTGTAGCAACTTCTAGAAAGTACAATGAGAGGACCTGGAGGCTCAGGAGATACCAGAGATGGGAGGAAGTTGTTAGTTGGAAGGATGTCAATGCTTTTCATTAAGGTAGGGAGCACTGGATGAGTAGTTTTGAGAGGGAAGATGGTGAGTTCAGCTTGGAGTATGTTCAGTTTGAGGGGACTTTGAGATAGATGTCCAGCAGGAAGTTTGGCCAACATTCCTGGGAGATACAGAAATGGCTGTCACCAACATTTACGCAGAGTTAGAACCATGAGAGTATATGGAGTCAAGCAGCAAGTGTGCACAGAGCAAGAGATAATGTGGGCTGAAACAAGAACGGGAGGAGCCCCAACATTTAAGAGGAGGACAAAGCCCACAAAAGCAGCAGAGAGGGAATATTCAGAGAGTTATGAGGAGAACCAGGAAAGCAGTGTCATGGAAGTCAAAAAAGGGAATAATCAACATTGCTAAATGTACCAAAAAAGACAAAAACCAAAAAAATGTCCTGTGGTCCTGACCATTATAAAGTTATTAATAAACTTAGCAAGAAAAATTGTGGTAGAAATGTGGAGATAGAAGCTGGGTCTAGAAATGAATGAGAGGTAAGGAGCTGGAGGCAGCAAGTATAGATACTGTCTTTTTTTTTTAAAGATTTTATTTATTTATTTGACAGAGATAGAGAGCACAAGCAGGCAGAGAGGCAGGCAGAGGGAGAGGGAGAAGCAAGCTCCCCACTGAGCAAGGAGCCCGATGCGGGGCTCGATCCCAGGACCCTGGGATTGTGACCTGAGCTGAAGGCAGCCGTTTAACCGAATGAGCCACCCAGGTGCCCCAGCAAGTATAGATACTGTCTTAAAAATGCTGACAAGAACAGGTGAGAGATTGGATACAATTAGAGATAGGGGCAAAGTCAAAGGAGAATTTTTTTTGTTTCTTGTTTTTGTCTTTTTAATTTTTAGTTTTGGAACAGAAAATGCTAGTACATGTGTATAGGTTTGAGGGGAAGGTGCCAATAGCAGGGAAAGCCTGAAGACACAGGAGAGAGAGCATACAGGGTGGTGTGCGTGTGTGTGTGTGTGTGTGTGTGTGTACGTACGTACGTACACGCGTGAGAGCCAACAGCATTTGTGAAAGGGGCTGCTGGCCTTGGACAAGGAGGGGAGCCCCCTCATTAGTCTCTGTACTTGTGCATTAGTTGTGGGTGCTGGGGTAGGGGCTCCAGGGTCACTGTGCTTAGTAGGTGGCCTTGCTTTTCTTAGTGAAGCAGGGGGTGAGGTGAAAGAGCTAAAAGAGAGAAGGGTGGGTAAAATAGTAAAGATTTGGATGAGGCAATGAGGGGAAAGGGAGAGGGAGCTATCTGAGGCCAGTGGAAAAACTAACTGGTAGTAGGCAGAGGGTCCAGATGAATGAGGTTGGCAACCCCAACTCTGTGGCTGTGCCAGTCTGTCTGGTTGTGTGGTTTTCTCAAGTATCCCTCTGTAATCCAGATGTAGATTATAGCCTCATCCAGGGACAGGATTTTCCTCTGTGGGTGCAGTAGAACATGGCTACATGGGAATTGAAGGTATTGGGGGAAGGGCAGTTCAGAAGATTAACCATGGGGTCTAGGACATGGAAAAGGAAGAGGGCAGAAGGAAGCTGGTAAACTGGGGGAAAAAAGAGGGGACAAGGAATTGTAGGTCTCCTAACAGGTCAACGAGCAGACTGGGTGAGGGTAAGAGAATGGAAGAGCTGAAAGGATAGGGGCAGATTAATGCCACTGTATACCCATAACCTCCAGACTCAACTGGGCCATCGATGCTGTGCAGCCATCTGACCGTGAGATAGGTCACTCTCCAACTCCTCACAGTTATTACTGTATATCCTTCTTTGAGCTTTGACCTATTAAGCACTCTTATACCCTCATTCTCAGGAGATGACCTCACTTTGTAATTTAAAGAGTAAATGGAGGGGCTCCAGGGTGGCTCAGTCAGTTAAGTGCCTGCCTTTGGCTCGGGTCCTGATCCCAGGGTCTTGGGACGGAGCCCTGAGTCGGGCTTCCTGCTCAGCAGGTAGTCTGCTTCTCCCTCTCCCTCTGCCCCTCCCCTGCTCGTGCTCTCTCTCTTGCTCACTCTCAAATAAATAAATAAAATCTTAAAAAAAAAAGAAAAAGTAAATGGATCCTATCAGATGGGAACTCCCAGACCTACAACAGTCCTGCATTCACCCTCTTATTTCAAGATGCCTCACATCCCATCTAAGGGCAATGCTTTTTACCTGTTCTCTGAATCCCATCCTCCCCAGCCTTTACCTGGACCTTGCTGCATTGTCTTCCTTTTCTCCTGGGTATCTTCAACCTTTCCTTCCCTCTCTACTAGCTCCAGCATCAGCTGAAATATACACAAATCTTTTAAAGAAAAGAAAAGCCTTCTTCACTTCCACATCTCTCTTCCTCTTTCCTACTCTTCACAGCTCAGCTTCTACAGAATTGTCTATTTTCTCTCTTCATTTAATGCCTCCCTGTCATTCTTCAACACACTCACAAAGCTTATAGTTTACTGGAAGATACAGACAAGTTAACTGGTAATTATAGGACAGTGTGATGAGCACTACAATAGCTGCTGTACCAGTCCTTGCTCACGCTTGTCATGCTTAACTTAAATAGCTACTATTTATCTGTCTATATCTATATCTTCCAGACTGCAAACTATAAGGGCAGAGATGCTATCATGGTTAGCACTGTCTTCAGATCTCAGCACACTGGATGGCATGTAAAAGACACTCATTGTTTACTGAATAATCATTCAGTATTTATTAATTAAAGTATTTATGCTCATATGCATAGCAAACATTTGTTTTATATATCAGAAGCTTCTAACTTAAGGAATGTTTGGAACCTATTTTTAGCAGTAGCATATAGAAAAGGTCTGAGAGTCATACTAAGTAAGCTGATTTTATCAGTCACTGTGTAATCAGAAGAAGGGGCATACTTCTTGGAATTTAAGAGTTCAGACTGAGGAAAAACCATAGGCATAAAGACATTCCTAAAGAATTGGCAGTGAGGAGAAGGAAGAGGGTACTGAAAGGAACAATGGTGATGAGGAAACATTAGAACCAGAAGTGTGTGCGGTACTCATTCACACCAGGCCTAATGGTAAGCTTACCACCACTGTTCTAGGGTTGGTTACCATAAAGCCTTTTCCTCCAAGAGTTTTAAATGTATTCTCTGGGGATTCTCTTTTTCTCCCCATAACAATATATTTTCAATTTCATAGAATAACTGTCAAAAACTAGGATTTAGTCCAATTTCCACAGAATAAAAATATTATATAAGATGTAATTATTTATCCTGCTGGAAGGAAATCTTTAAGAAACCAATATTATTACAGAATTGACATTATGTATTTTTTTAAAAATGCACTAAATACATTAGCACATATGGCTTAATACATTTTATTTCACCAATATTAATTTATACATAATACCATGTAGATTAGGTTAGCAACATTTATTAAAAAGTACAGGACTAAAATTACCTGTTGATCTGAATCCATTTTTAGTACAGATCTGTCTGTAATCAGGACTGACCTGGAAATCTGCCTGTAACGCACAAAACAGTTAATCAGTGATTCAGATTCCACAAATAAGTTTCATTTATAGTTATATAACTACCATATTTCAAAGATTTAAGTCATGATAAAAGTGTTGCTTCCTCAAGCCAAGTCAAACTAATCTTTTCTTGGCTCATCGAAGGGAGAATATTGTGGGGGCATCTGGGTGGCTCAGTTGGTTAAGAGTCTGCCTTCAGGGCGCCTGGGTGGCTCAGTTGGTTGGGCGGCTGCCTTCGGCTCAGGTCATGATCCTGGAGTGCCGGGATCGAGTCCCGCATCGAGCTCCCTGCTCGGCAGGGAGTCTGCTTCTCCCTCTGACCCTCCCCCCTCTCATGTGCTCTCTCTCTCCTCTCATCCTCTCTCTCAAATAAATAAATAAAATCTTTAAAAAAAAAAAAAAAAAGAGTCTGCCTTCAGCTCAGGTCATGATCTTGCATGGGGCTCCCTACTCAGCGGGGGAGTCTGTTTCTCCCTCCCCCTCTGCCCCCACCCCACTCGTGCTCTCTCTCTCTCTCAAATAAATAAAATCTTAATAAAAAAAAAAGGGAAAGGAGGACATGTGACCTGCAGACCAACCCCCAGCTGATACAAAGGAGTCAAAATTAGACTGGACTCCCCTACAACCAGACTCAGTGGATATGCTGGATATATCTTTGGTTTGGTACACATTTGTATCTAACTTGAAGAACACAGTCATACAGAAGTGTCAATATAATCACACAGATAAATTTTCCAATGTTTCACCTTCCCTTAGACAGTGGGTGGAGGGGTGCCTTACCGGTATTGTACATGTGAGCATGTGTTCTCAGAAAAGTAACTGTCCTCCACAAGGAAATGCTTAGAGATTATTCTCTGACCAAACTGATCTATGATTGCTTTACATCTACAAAGAAGATAAACATAGCAAAAAAGCTCTCATTAATGATTACATAATTGAAAAATAAACTTCATCAGCTACAATTTTGAATCTGAAACCAATTTCTTAGAAGACAATTTAAAACAGTATACAATTTCACATTTTGACATAAAACTGACACTAAATTACAGAATATATATTCTTGTTGCTTCTTTGAAATCTTTAAACTATAAACATAGAATAGAATTTAAGTATTTATTTTGAATACCATTAATAAGAATAATGTTAGTGTAAGTATTATAGTATAAGCATAAGCTTTCTAATGTTTAGGAATATAGAAGCTTTTCTTTTGTTTAGAAAAGGCTTTTTTCCCCTTAATAGATCTAAGAAAAGGAGAGAAAAGTTGATTAAATATCTTGTTATATCATTCACAGTCTAAAAGTCACTAAAGCCTTTTTATTTTTGTTAAGTGTTGCTTTCTCTTTTGTTCAAGAATAGCTATCTGGTCACACGTGATAACGCTTTAAACAAACAAAAAAAGAGGTATAAAGCTTCTTTTAGTATGTTTCTACTTTACTTCAAAGGATGATCAAAAAAGATTTCTTTCAAGTGCTATTTCTAAATAAGGAAAACACTTATGCATGGACATTATCAGGTCTCTGTCACGTGATATGTGTTGGGACAATGAATCATATAGAACCCTCCACTGACCTTCTTTCAATGTGTCTAGATAAAAGGATGAAAATTAGAATCCATCTCCTTGCAGTGCCACAAGTTATAAATGTACTTTATAGGGCTCATTATCCAAACTAATGGACTAAGGGCAACATCCTTGAAATGGACTTAACAGTACTGACAAAGCCAGTATGTAATATCTCAGGAATGATATGCAAATGGCTGCATGGCTTTTTATTATGAAAATATCACAATTTACTTGTCACAGCTACTCCTTTTGGGATCAGAATTATTTTATTAGAAATACATTTGTATGTTACTCCTCATAAAATGCAAGTAAATAATTTCAAACTTATACCATATTTTAAATATACTGATATAAATTAAAATATGCTATATCACTCTAAAAATAAGCCAATTAAGAGATATTTACCAGGCATAAAACAAAATGATGAACACCCAAGACTGACAGTAAGAGAAATTTAATGTGTATTTCCTAAAGGCAGATTATGATATGTTCATTCTTGAATAAATGACATGCCACTGTTGTCAGGACAGACTGTGATACTTCATAATGTTAGATATACATAATACATATTTTAACCAATTAGCCACATATTAATACATGCTATATTACATTATTATTTATGTGATTTTTTTCCCATCTCACCTCCAATTCCTTTCTCTTCCCCAGTTGTTTCTATGCATATGTCCTCACATTTCATTAAACTAGAGCTTTTGCCTTATAAAATACTTAACTGAACAGATATAAGGTATTTATACCTAGATATAGTATTTTCCAAAATAATTATTTAAAAACTGAAAAGATAAGTTACTTACTCAGTATCCTGTTTTAATACATTCACATACAATTTAAAACACAAGGTACTTTAGGCAATGGAGAAGAGAAATCTGCTGATCCATCATTAAACACTGATCCCTATTTGTCCTGGAAGCACTGACAAGCCTTTTTCTTACCTTTAAGTCAGAAACTATAGAAGTCAAGAGGGAATAATCTGGGCAGAAAAAAAGAGGGTGTTATAATCTATATCTTGATAGGGATTTGGGTTATTCAGATTTGTCATTTATCAAAACTCAGCTACTGAACACTTAAGATTTGGGCACTTCACTGTATGTAAATTTTACTTCAAAAGGAAAGGCTATAAATAAATATTAAACTCTTAATGACAGGCATGCCAAGGTATTTAGGGGAAATTGTATTGATATCTGGAATTTACTTAGTGAAATTCTTAAGAAAGGTGAACAGATGGATAGAGGAATAAATATTTGGGTAGAAACATGATTAAGCAAGTAATATATTAAGATGTTAATTATAGAATCTGGGTTGTGGATATACAAATATTCATCCTGGAATTCTTTCAACATTGGTGTAGATTTGAAAATTTTCATCATAAAATGTTGGAATAAAATTGGTGGTGGGGGGGGTGTTAGTATAAATCCTGGACTCTTAGTCTAAGTCTTCGCAAAGGACTCCCATTTAAATAAACCACACCATTAAATCTGGCCCTCAAGCTACTGGAGATCTTGTTTTGTAGGCTTCCAAACACTAACAGGGCTGCTTTGGTGGTAGCTACACCCTTGGTGACAGGTAGAAACTGGTTTCAGAAGTTATGGCATTAGAAAGAACTACTAGTACCACTCAAAAGGGAGGTAAGGGTGTAGGAGGATTAGGGAGTATATAGGTCAATATACCAATAAATGTGCCTACTTATGCTGAAGCTTTCTAGATGAAACAGTGATTCTCAGAAGAGGAGGAGGAGGAGAAGGAGGAGGAAGAGGGAGCAAATCAGAATCACACCTGGGGGACTTTTTCAAATTATAAGTACCCCTGGAGATTCTGATAAACTCCCAAATCCCGGGGAAAAATCACTGTCGAGCATGCCACTGTTACTGTTGTAGTTTTAGGCTGTGCTAGGTAGAGAAAAGTCAAGAGCTATTGCTACAAAAAAAAAAAAAAAAAAAAAGGTGATTTCTGCAGAAATTGATGTGATGGTCACATATGCCCAATCTGGTAGATGATGGTAACAACTCACCTGATAGTCTTACTCTGAAGTACTAAGGCTCTAGGCCTGAGCAAGGCTGTTCAAACCAAAGCATGTTTAATAAGGAATAAGGTTTGTTTTCCCCCAAGATACTTGACTTACTATCATATATTAGGCCTAATTAGGAGAAAAATGAAGAAAGGAATATTAATTTGGGACCGAGACTTAGACTTTGTATTATAAAGATTAATATAAAAAATTAGGTGACACTTAAGTAATGGAAAATAGCACAATGAAACAGTACTGCCAGAGACATTAAAACACCCTTCCACATAAACCTGAGGAAGCCATTAAAGATTAACAGTATTCTGGATTTAGTTGAGGGCCTTGCTGAGCTTCATAAATAGTAAACTGAGGAGGAACATGATAGGAGTTCTCAATTACAGAGACACAAGGACCAGGCTGATCGTAAGAATCACTGAGTCCAGACAGAACATTTCTAGAGGTGAGTTTTCCAAATCAAAAATCACAACAGTTATTCAATTCTTGGTTCAATGATATGAGGACATATACAGCAAAATGATAAGGAAGAAAATGCTCAGCAAGATGAAAACTCTTTATCTGGAATTTGGCCCAGAAGAGAAATATAACATAACAAGTATCCAATGTCTATGATTTTCAGAATATCCCAACTAACTGTATGATAAGAAATGCAGCAATCACATGAAATAATAATACATAATTAAGAAAAGTTGAAGATCCCCAATCATTAAAGGAAACAAAATAATTCTCTCTATTCACTATGCCCTTCCATGCTTTCTAAAACACATTAGTTCAAATGTCACCTCTTCAATAAAACGATTCCAAATGCTTATCATTCATTTTTCTTGGGTAAAAATCCACTCCAATAGTTTCAAATACAGTAACAGATAGATAACTCCAAATCTATGATTCTGTGTTCTGACCAATCCCAAGCTCTGTATCCATATTTTTAACTGTGTCTTATCTATTTCTTTTTGTGTTTCTCAATGTGTTTCTGGATAGACTCCAAACCCTTTTTAAACCTAGCATACCCCTGGGGCACCTGGGTGGCTCAGATGGTTAAGTGTCTGCCTTTGGCTCAGGTCATGATCTCCGGGTCCTGGGATCAAGCCCCACATCTGGCTTCTGGCTCAGCGGGTAGTCTGCTTCTCCCTCTCCCTCTGCCTCTCCGCCTGCTCATGCTCTCTCTCTCTGTCTCAAATGAATAAATAAAATCTTTTTATAAAATAAATAAACCTAGCATACCCCAAACTGAGTTCATCATGATTCCTTACCTGTTTCCCCCCTTGGAATACCTATCTCATGTAATGACATGACCAGCAGTCAGGTTCCCTAGCTTAGAAACTTTCTTCCCATATCTAATCTGCTACTCAATTTTGATTCTACCTTATAAAGATTTCTTGAAACTAGCTTCTTTTCTTCATCTCTACTATACTGCCTTAGACTTGTGTTTAGTCTAATAAGATAATGGACTGCTAGCAAGTCAGTAGCTCATTTGTTTGATGTAAATGACGGCATAACAATCATGTGCCAAGCACTGTTCTAAGATATAAGAATAAAAATATCTTATCCGTAAGGAGCTCCCAATATAATGAAGATGCAGACACAGGCAATTGTAAGATAATACCCAAGTCCAGGGATAAGAAATGAGGACAGGACATCATGAGAGTACTAAGGGAAGATATCTAACTAAACTTAGGGGGTAAAGGTGGAGTATCAGGGAATGCTCCTCAGAGAAAGTGGTAACATTAGCTGCTTTTAAAGGATGAAAACTAGTTAGGCAAGCAAATAAGAACATTTCAGGTAGAAGGGCAGCATTTGCAGGGGTACAGAGGCAAATGAGAAAAGTACAGGGATCCATAGACAGTTTAGTGTTAAATGACAATAAAATGGAAGCAGGGAGGGAAGAGAGATGAGCTTAGAAAGGCAGGCAGAGGCCAGATCCCAGAGCCTCACATGTCATGTAAAAGGGTCTTACACTTTATTCAGAAGTGATATAAAGCCACTGAAGCTTTTTACACAGGGAGGGACAGAGCTAGATCTGCATAATGAAAAGATCTCAATGTGTAATTATCTCATTAATTTATTTTTCTTTAATGTTCCCCAGGAGACTCTAAGCTCCATGCAAACAAAGACCATGATTGTCTTGTTCTTGGCTATATTCCTAGCACATGAGACACAGAAAACAACTAATACTTGTTGCATGGATGGCTAATCGATGGATAGGCAATGGAAATATTCCATGCATGTGAACAGTGTGGAGACAAAACCAAAGATTCAAAATCTCTGATTTAGGAGGTAAAAGAA